TATTCCTACAGAGAGAACTATAACTGTTTTAGATTTTATACATTAAGATTTTTTGAGAGCGGAGTAAATAGAGGAGAATTTGAAAAAAGATGAATGCTAATGTGTTTTTCTAAGCTCCCCGTGTTATTAATTTTACAATGTGGCTTTAAAAACAAAAGCTCCATAAATTTGTTTTTCCTAAAAGTAAATAAACAGAGATTTGTATGATAGAATTTTACTTTAAAAGACCTGCTCTGATGATTTGCAATTATTCTTACTGAATATTCCAATAAACAGTTGATTGGTATTATCTAAAACCAGAGCTGGACATCTCAAATACATAATGGGAATATGTGATGGGAACTGATATAATATTGTGAAATTCTAAAGAGTAAAAATCTCTTGGCCTTTAGGAGTTTTGGAGTGGTGCAAACAACACCCTCGGCTGCTTATCAAAAGGCTGGAGGCCTGAGGACCTACTTCTGAAAAACCCACTGTTGAAACTCGATGGAGTAACTCCATGGAAAATGGTGTATTCATATTTTCTTTTGAGTGTTTGAGTAATAAATATAACTAACTGCAAGCAATTGAAAGTAATTATATTCAGCTGAAATTCTGAACCCAATTAATGTAATAGTTAATATAAATTACCTTAATGTTTGAAAAAAGAGCACATGATTTAGTCCCATTAAAAAAAAAAAAACTCAACTCACTGTCATTGTGTCAATTCTGACTGGTTGCATCCTTAAAGGACAGAGGCTCAGGAAATCCTATAGAGCAGTTCTACTCTGGAGCACGTGGGATCTCCATGAGTTAAAGTTGATTTGATAGCAATATGCTAGGTCAGTGATCTATTGCCCCAGGAATACAGTGTAATAAACCACCCTATGATACTCTGCTCTCCTGTTAGAGGAGTATAATTGACTGACAACTGCAGCTGATGCCCTTCTGGATTCATACCCATATTCATAATGAGGTCATCCTTTTTCAGGCTGCTCCTAGCCACTGTCTGAGCTGCAGGCCCCCTCCTCTGATGCATAGGGCTCCTTTAGCAGGAAGAGTCTGGCTCAAATATTCTCCCATGAAGCTGGTAGAAACTTTCTCAGTATTTTACAGTATGAGACTTTTCCTTCCTTCATCCCTTCCTTTCTTCCTTCCTTCCTTCTTTCCTTCCTTCCTTCCTTCCTACTTTCCTTTATAGAGATCAGACCAGCATCTCTATTGAATACTCTTCTCCCTTATCTGGCTCCTTCCCTTATATCTTTCATAGATGGTGTGGTAGTTACATAATCTGTTGTCAATTTGAGACATAAGAGTGAAGGGGTGGAGCTTAACTTGTCAATCAGGTCACAGCTTAGTGACCTCATTTGGAGATGCTAAGGAGATAAGTAGCTCGCTGGAGGCAGGACACATGCTCACTCCGCTCACCTCCATGATATGATCGCTGAAGACAAATGAGTGCACAAGCAAATGTGGTGAAGAAAACTGATGGTGCCTGGCTGTCAAAAGATATAGCATCTGGGGTCTTAAAGGCTTGAAGGTAAACAAGCGGCCATCCAGCTCAGAAGCAACAAAGCCCAAATGGAGGAAGCACACCAGGCTGTGGGATCACAAGGTGTCAAAGGGATCAGGTATCAGGCATCA